ACCAGGCTGCACCTAACGCACCATTGCTACAACTAACTTCCAGGCTGCACCTTAGACACCATTCATTTTCAACTAAACCACCAGGCTGCACCTAACGCACCATTGCTACAACTAACTTCCAGGCTGCACCTTAGACACCATTCATTTTCAACTAAACCACCAGGCTGCACCTAACGCACCATTGCTACAACTAACTTCCAGGCTTCACCTTAGACACCATTCATTTTCAACTAAACCACCAGGCTGCTATAGCTATAATTTCGTATTGTGCTTAGTCTGACTTTAAGAGCATCACTACTTGGACCAAAAAAAATAGAAACTTATGATTGATTGGAATATGATAAAGCATATTTGTAAAGTAAATAAAAAAAATGATGTGTGCCGTGTCTTATGAGCATTGTAATTTAGATTCATTGGTCCAAGTGTCCCTTTCGCTTTTCTACTGATGATGAATTACTTTGACAAAATCGTTTAAATATCCAAATAAAATAGTAGTTTAAGATGTGAGCACGAAATTGGACACTAATTTAAACCATTGACATCTTATCCTACTATTTTCCAATTGGCGGCATACAACAATAAAGGCGCAGGAGCAATCTAGAAAAAAATTATTGTATCATTCAGATTAACAAGTCAAACGTCAAATACAAATTCATTGAAGTGAATTATAAAAATTAGTTTTGATTATGCATCCGATGACCACAGCATTTCATTATACGATTGTTCAGTCGCAGTCGAATCCAACAAAGCAATTTATGAGATGGGATATATTCAGGGTGATAGCAGGCCTATAATAGCTTTTACGATCGACTGAGAATATTACGTATGGCATCTGTGGTGAAGCACCGAACACCGAAAGAGACAATACAGTCCTTTGACTAAAAGTTGTCGTTTGATCGGTTCATCCCTTCGGGACTAGACCGAAAAGGATGATGGGTATAACTAATTCAGTTATTGGCTGCCGCCAAAATTATCGAACACGTATTCGTCTGCTCAATGTTTTTGCATTTAATTTGTTAAGCCATGCCTCGGAAATACGGTAATGATTTAGGCTGTGGTAATAAATAAACAAACAATAAAAGAAATAAGCTTTTAAACAACCTTTAAGGTCGCCGGAATCTTGTTTCCAGACTTCACAGATAGATAAGAGTAAGTGATAATTAGAATGCTGCAGCATACACGTGCATATTTACACTTGCCTGCATTAAAATTTGATTTACTTCAGTAATCAAACTATCCATGGCTGGCAATAATTCGTCTGGTCCCTGCTTGAGCAGTATAATTTTTTTTCATTATTAAAATGTAGGGCATCCTCAAAAGAAGACGATTACGAAATCACCTTATTTTTCTTGGCAAATGTGATTTTTTTTCTTTCATTGTGCAGTTGTTATCACGATATCAACTGTACAACAACACTAAATTAATCATGGTTGATTTGTACCCGTAGTCCTTTTCGGTCTTGTCGCGTAGGCATGAGACTGATCAACGACAACGTTTAGTCAAAGGACTGTATACGGAAACAACAAACATCATTAGCTTTATGCCACAATATCAATATCATAATAGATTTATTTCTGAGCTCCTAAGTAAAATATAACTCATAATTGTTCTTGATACATGTGCGCGCGAAGATAGGAATTTTATCTTCGAGTGTTGAAAACAAGAGCAGCTCCAAGCGACCATGTAATATTCTGTTTATCATATAATTGTATATGAAAGCACATTATTACTTACTGTTACATTGCTGCGTTTTGTCGTTGGAGGTGTTCACAAATTTGTTTGGTCCTGAGAATTTGTGAAACATCTGAGTATTATTATCACAGCTAATTATGATACATAATTGTTTAATTTCTTTTAAACTTACTCTTGACAAATTTCTTTAATTGCTTCTATTTCCTCCCTCAACAAACGATTGATCTCCCTTTGATTTGACGATTCATCGTTGTTCTTGTCAACTGATTCGACTTCCTTTACAAACTATAGATGTTTAAAAACAATGAATGTTAAGAGTGAATGTCAGCAAACACCAGACATACAGTGGCAAGTGTAAGAAATTAGATTTCGCTCAAACTTTCATATTTGGTACCTTATTATGTCTGATGAATCACTGTGTTGTTTTTATTAAAAACTATTTTTTCGTTTGCGAGATACGATTTTTTTTGTGAGAGAGGTCAAATATGCAAATTTTTGTTGTTTACAAAGAGTGATTTCTGTGCCCTCGCATAGCGAAAATACTTGACCTTTAGTGATTATACTTACACGTTGTATTTATCATTATCTCAACCGTTCTCTGGCTGAAAATGAAGTCCTACAAACAAACTAGTGATTTTTGACAATTTTTTAAATTATGCACACTTTTGATAACGTAAAAAGTACTCCTATTTCACACGTATTTTTCGTTATGACCGATATGGAGAAAACCCACAGGATTTCGTCCAGAGTAAGACCTTAGATTGGTCATCAAA